CTGTCCAATTTTCAATGGTTTTTTCAATCACGGAATGTTTCGATGCGAGGGTCAGCTCGCGTCCCTGGCGACATTTACCGGGATTTATTTGCCGGAAGTTACATTCCCAGGCCACTTTTTGGCAAAAATGATGAGTTGTTGCGGTGGGTGCCGCGAACGGACTGGATTTATCTCACAACATTCAACATTCCTGCACACTGGAACAAGGTACCAATGTTCAGTGTTAATTGCAAATTGATGAAGGTCAGAAAGCTATCAATAGTAATGGAATCGGCTGATTTAAAGGAAATTTTGGTGAAGTTTGAAAAGAAGAAAATGGAAATGGGCGGGAGTAGAAATGAGAATAATCATGCAATGAAATGAATTTTTCGAAAAGTAAGGTTAGGGGCAGAAATTATAATTGTGGATTAGGAATTCTGTGGATAGACAAATTCCATAAGAACTGAAAGATTAGATATACTGCGGCCTGCTGCGACTCTCCGTAAATTCTTTTCAAGTCTTTGAAGTCATTTCATGAGATCTTTCGAGCTGTGGTATCACTAATATCAGATCGAAGAAAATTATGCTTAAAAATTATCCTTGTTTTTTTTTTTTTGAAATGTTAAAATGCGGGCCGTTGCTAGCAGAATTAGTCGCGCTTCGGTTTGCAGATTCAAATGGATAACGAACCGGACTCCCCACTCGTGCAATTCCAAAAAAATATTTAAGGGACGCGTTAGTCTACAGGAATAGCGATGTGGGAAGTAATAATGTGGGTTTGACTGCGCCAGTGATACAGCCAATCCTTCTACGACTTGTTCATTCATTTCGATGATCAATAGGCACTGGCATACTAGTACTAGAAGAAAAAACAATTAAATAATTATGTAACAGAAGTGACAATGTTTGTCTTCCATATAATTGTAAGCTTTAGGTGAAGGCAGTGCTGCTGAACGCTCAAGGTCTGGACACTGTTGCTGATGTATATTTTAACAATCTGTTGGTACTCCAAGCACGTAACCAGTTCGTGCCCTATCTTCTGGCGCTCAAATGCTGGAAAATTGGGGAAAATACTCTACGAATTGAGTTCAAATCACCAGTCCTCTATGCGGAACAGCAGGCCAACAACTATCAGGTACCATTATTATTCAGATTTCTTAGCGTTGGGAGCGCGAAGCAATCTCTATTTGCTTATCCGCTTTTCACGTCTTCCTGTTTACTCCAAAAACCTCCGGTTTAACTGTTCCCACCATCTACAAGACTGATGTCCTAATTTTGTTTCGAATCTAGCCAATCATTTAATCAAAAGTCGAAGCCGCTTCCCTATTTTCGACAAATGGCGGGGTCAGCAAGTGACCCAAGTAGTAAATGCCAGCAGCAAATACCCGTTGGTAGGGCTATCGATAGGCTCCTCTTTTGAGGGTTGCTTACAAGCAAACTGATGGCAGGTTTTACTGTACCGTTACCATCGGAATGAATGAACGAGTCGTAGAGGGACTATTTATACTAACGGCGGGTCAGGCCTTTATACCTACTATACAGCAGTTCTAATTCCCACTGCATTATATTCATTAGCAGTTACTGAATATTATTTTTCAGTATTAAATGCTAATTTACTAAGTATCGATGGAATTACAAATATTATTCAGAGAATAGACATAAACTAACTGTGAAGTCTATGAGAAATGTACTAAAAACTGAAGCCTGTAAAACGTACGAAAAAATAACAATTTAGCTAAAATTAATACGACTGAATTCATTAAACTGTAAGAAGCTTTCAGCAAATTGGGACGATCCAACGCTACTTGTTATTTATCGTTCTTTTTTCTCACAGTAAAATAATCTAAAATAAAGTTGACGTGAGGTTGCAGAAACAATATGGTCACATTGTTCCGCCGTTTTGTCCAGTGCCGGAATTCCAAGGCGAATGCCATGTTAATTTCATGAGGTTCGTTGTTTTTAATGATATTCATGCTGTGATTATAGTTAGTTCCAAAGCGTACGAGGTCTGAAAAAAACGCATAAAAATAATAGTTTAGCTAAAGTTAAGAGGCTTGGACCCATTTAAACTGCCTAAAGCTTTCAACAATTGTAGAGTATCCAGCGCTACGTGGTATTGATTACACCGCGTTTTGCTGCTGTCATCATTTAAGGAGGTCCATGAGCTATTTCCTGATGATTTATGCTTTGGAATGTTTCAGCTTGAGCTCGGTATCAGTTGCCAGATAATTTTGATGATCCGAGCCCATTTTCAGGAAGATTCAAGCAAGTTTCAGTTGGGATTGGGGTCCTTCATTTCCAACGGTAGGTATTTGGCAGCCGATATCTATTGAAGGCGTAGAAACGCTACACGTTGGCAGGATATCAGCCGAAATTTCATTCCAAAGTAATTTTTCAGAATTTATCAAAACCTTTTTAACAGATATTCGTATTCGGCCCTTCACAGAATTTGGTATTGTATGGGCTGTCACCCAATAACCACGTGAGCAATCCGGCTTCTCTTCTGACATTCACTGCTTTGATTATATTCGCTCTCATAAGATCATAGGCGGATCCTGGGTCTTCTGCCCCCTTCCCCATATCCTTCCCCAGTCCAGTGGCACAGACGCCAGTGCTAGAAAAGTCAAGGTCTAAAGCTAAAACTGAAGAAAGCTCTCTTTCGCAGCTCCCTTCGCATGCCCCACTTCCGCCACCAGAAGCCTCATTTCTTCCTTCCTCCCCCTCCCCCCCCTCTCCACCCCCTCAACGCCCCACCCCTTGGTTATTGCCATACCGGCAAACCCCCTTCCCCTCACCCCTCCTTTCTTCCTTCCTCCCCCCCCCCCCCCCCCCCCCCCCCCCCC